TTATTTTTTAGTCAGAAGGCGATTCATAAATTAAGATTATATAAAAGGGCGTACCTCTGGATCTGTAAAGAAAAAAAAAACAATTTTTTTCTCAAATATATTTCGAGAGATTGCTCCCACTTTATCAATTTATTTCAAAAAATTTGTTTTTTTTTTTCTTTACAGATCCAGGTACCCCCTTTTATATAATCTTTTATTTAATGTTTGTTTTAAAATTTGTCGTTTGTATAATAATTGGAAAATAAATTATGAAAATTTTATATCTACAGCATATCAGGCTGTGCTGAAAGTTCTCTATTATCTTAAATCCAACAAGATTATAAGATTAATTGCAATTGTGTGAATTAATAGCTAAATCTAGATTATCAATCTTTTTTTGAGGATTATTCAATCAAAATGACAAAAATAGAGTCTTCTAGAATGATGCTTATTGAGGTAAAAGTTAAATAATTGCAACACTACTAAATCTTGTATCTCAACTATAAATTAAATATCTCTAACAGCAAACACAAATCCAATCAGGATTACAGTACCTACCTTTCATTATAGTAACATTAGCTTTATGGCCTAATTATTGTAAATATGTATAGACAAATGTAAAGGCATATGCAGGCATGTCAGTGCTGGTGTCTCTGTGGGGACATAGCGCTTTAAATTAAAATAAATATAGCTACCAAATTAGAAAGATGGACCCTTGAAGCCCATATTTCCTAGAACAGTATTGTCAAAAAAAAATCCAAATTTCGATAGCAATTTCATCACATATCCTACATCTTGCGTAACAATAGAAAATACACAATTTCGCTCCACTACCCCCGTTTCACTCAAATTTGGTCATAGAAAAGGGATAGCTTGATATCTTCACGATTTTGCGTGTCATGCTTGCAAAGGGGCCATGATAATCTTCTCTGTATCTTTCCTATTTTAGTGTTTGCACCGTTGAACAAGCGTTTGTATAAATAAAACAGCGCTGTTTAGGCTAGAGTGATGGTGTCTTGTCCATGAAGCAGATCAGATCGGTCCGTACACCCTGATCACAATACCGGCCAACTGAGGTGGTGGTGGTGTCTTGTCCATGGAGCAGATCAGATCGGTCCGTACACCCTGATCACAATACCGGCCAACTGAGGTGGTGGTGGTGTCTTGTCCATGGAGCAGATCAGATCGGTCCGTGCACCCTGATCACAATACCGGCCA